CAGTTTGTTGCTGATGGTTCTGGGAATTGAATAGGCTTTTCACTCTTCCTTATTTAATGTCTCTATTATGGTAGTTCAGTGGGACATGAATCAGTTTATCTTAACTAGAACAGCTTTTGGAAATGTTTTATCGTGTATAGTAGGCTCCTGGTAGCTTTTAGACCTTATCTCCCTTTCCTCCCTCAGAATTAACAAAGACTTCACATTTTTCCACTTTTTCCTATTAATACTGCAGTACTTTCAAGATATTTGTATTTTGAGTTGATATTTTCTATTTATCTAGAAACCAATAAGAAACTTCTTGGGGGGTTTTGTTTGTTCGTCCCTGATAAAGCCATACCCAGCTTAAGGAGGCAGTCACTATCTAATGTTATGCAGCCAGCTCTCTTCTCTATTAGGTAAACGTAATCAGTGAAGCCTGCAGAGGATAGTTAAGCAGTCTTCAAAATAAAGTCGATTTACTCTTAATTGTCTTCCTTTACTATAAATCTTTAAGAAGCAGAATAATGGTATTCTGTTGGAAATCCTTTGTGGGGAATTTCTGAAACTGCACTCGGTAAACATACGGGAATTTTCTGTATGGTTAAAAGTTATGTTTAAAAGGTCAGTAATTCAAGTGCATTTGGTTTTGTTGTATTTTGTTATATCATGCATGTTTAGCAAACATTTAATTTAACGAAAGTACAGAGGCACCTTCAGAAAAATTCTATGTAAGATAATAGGGGGAGAAACCTGTATAAATGCATGTGTAGTAACTTTGCTCATTCTTAGTATGATGCGAGTGATTTTACATGCATAAAGTGCGTGTCACTTCAGGATCTCTAAGGCAAGTATGAACTGCATAAGATCATTGTTTCATTTGGAATTTCTCTTAAAAGTACCTTTTCTATAATTAAAGCAGTCTAATTGTTAGAAACCGCACAATTTAAATGGTTGTGTTTACCTCAAGCTCTTACTGAAGTCTGGCTCCAGTATCAGTTCAGTGAAGCCAGAACTTCACCCCATGTTGCTGTGTTTTAAACCTTCAAAGAAAAAAGATGGAGTTATTGAAAGGAAAACATGTTAATGGAAAGAATCAAATGGAAATACAAAAATATGTGGGGAAGAAACACTGTTTAAATGATGCATACTTTATTTTTAGTTCTCTGCCTACGAGTTCCTGTATTCGAATCCTCCGAATGCAAGATCCTGAAAGAGGCCAAAGAACATTGAATTTCAAAAATAGGAATGACAAAGAGGAAGATCAATAAGTATTTCTCTGTATGAATACGGCATATTATTGAGGATGTGTAATGATGTGTATAAAGTTACTATTATCTGATGCTGAATTAGGGGATCTTTTGTTAGATACTCTCAGGAAATGAAAAGGTTCCAGTATTTTTTTAATTATAAATTGTTTTTAAGAATTACTATGTGTGTACAGACCAATAATAAGTACAGTTTTTATGATGAGAAAAATCCTAAATGTTCAGTTGATATTTTTAACTACCTGCTAGTAGACTTTTTTAATCAGTTGTTCTGTTTTTTTTTTTTTCTGGAAAAGATGAAATGTATTTTATATAACTATGGAGTAATATTTTAATAAACAGTGAGAACTGATACTTGGTGTAATGGTTTAGCATCTCTACACTAAAAATTAACATTAAGTTAAAAATGATTGTTACTTCCTAGCTCTGCTTTATTTCTTAAACATATGTTAATAAATACATGCAGTAAAACCATGTGTTTTATTTTTGTCCAGTGGAACCACAGCAGCTGACCATGTTAGCATTTATAGTGTATATTTTCATAATTAGATAAGTGAAAACTTATTTGCAGTATATTCTCTGGGCAGGAAGAAGGTGCTTTTATTTCTCCCTAAAGGGAAGAGTTTGAGTTTCGTTGAACATGGGCTTACAAAACCTAGGAATTTGTGGCTTTATAAACTCTAAATTTTTTAATTCCAATAAACTCAGTTCTTGAACAACCTGTGTTTGCAAGTGTAGACTAAGACTGTAGATACTGATTATAACAAACCCAAGGGACGGAAGTCCTTCCATGAAAGAGTAATTAAGTGGAATAAGAATTTGGGGAAATAATAGAGTAACTTTTCTATGGCGTCGTAGGCCTGTGTTTTGTTGGGTGTCCCCACCTCATATAGTTGGGACTGTAATAGAGCAGTTAAATTAAACTTGCTTTATTTAAGTAATACAAGCATTTTGGGGGGATTAGAGGGAGAAAGAACCACCAGATTTTTCAAATTGCCCCAAATTAACCTTTTTTTTCTTCTCCTTTCTCCAGGAACTTGAATTTGTTGGGAGCTCTTCAAAACCAATCACTTTTTAGAGTTTAGCCATCAGAAATACCTTTTGATTTTTGACATTATGGGGATACAAAAACCACTGAGACTATTGAGAAAACAGTTCTGCACTTTCTACAGTTATTTCCTAAACAGCAGTTCCTCAATAAAACCTCACTGCAGTGTAATTTTTAACTTGACTTTGTAGCCGATTTTGTTTTCAGCTGCTGCACGGTATTCTGTGGTCTTTAACGCTTTTTAGTTTTTTCACAAGCATGTATTAAAGCTGTATGTCTGGATGTGAGCTAGATAAGAATGGGAGGAAATACCCCAGCCAAAACCAGCCTAGCTGAGAAAGCTAACTGCAGTTCCAGTATGTTCAAACTGTAGGAATTAATTCTAGTGACCTTTCAAAAGCTTCAGATGTTTACTTCTGAAAGCTGAAGGTCGAGAGTCTCATCACAGCCTTGAGGAGGTTACTGAAAAAACAAGGTCAGGCTTTTTGTGGAGGTGTGTGGCAGAAGAAGCACAGGCAGCAGTCATAAATTCAAGTGGGGAGGGAGGTTCTGGCTGGATAAACCAGGGGTAGGGATTGTTCCTGGTGAAGACATGTCATCCTGGTATACTGTAGAATCCATCGTTGGAGGCTTTTGGGATCTAAATTGACTGCTGCATCTCCTTCAGGCAGGGAGCTGGATGGAAGACCTTTGGAGGTCCCTACCAAACTCAAAAATTCCATAATCATGTGATTTGATGGAATATTTATTAAAGATACTTACAACTTTAGGATTATGTGAAAACACTTGGTGGGGGGGAGGTGCGCTGATGTAGGGACACGTCAGCATACAACGTGCGTATTTGGCAAAACTTGTCTGGAACACAAGCCCGGATTGTTTGTACTGGGAGTCCTCGATCACATTACATGATCATGAGCCACGTGTTTAGTTTGGCTCAATTTTATGATGAAACTGGAACATGTTTCAGACCCTTTTACAAAATGAAATGATAGAATGGTATAGCATTATTTCTTCCTGATATTTTTCAGCATCCAAAAAATAAAGCAAGAGTGCAGGGGAGAGAAAAGTATTTATCTTCATTAGGATGTTTATAATGAGTTATGTGGAGAAGAGGTTAAGGAAAATTAATTACTGCATTATTTCTGAGCTCACACTTCAGCTTTCTCCCATGTTTTCTACAGACTTACTTGAAATATTGAAGCAGTTGGCAACAATTTCTGGTCTTTGGTTCAATGCAATAAATTGTATTTAATCTACCACTGTACTTGATGAAAATATGTGCCTGACTCTGTAATTATAAGCAACTGTTTTCATGGCAGAGGATTAGTTCTGAATAAATGATTACTGAAGCGCTTGCTTGGATGAACTTATTTTTGCAGTGATCCTGATATGGTCTCAGAACTATCTTATTCTTGGTACCTTAAATACAGATTTTACTATACCAGCTACCTAGAGGGAGGATCGCAGTGCTGATGTTTGAGTTGTTGGCCATTTTGGATTAATGCTTTGCTTAGTGCTGCATTAAAGTAAATGGAGCTTGTCCAGTTACATTAATTCAAGGTACAGGGAAATACAGAATGAGTTACTGCTGCTCTAATAAGAATATGTAAAGTGGAGAGGCATAAATTCCCAGGAATATTCAACATCTTCTCTACAACTACTAATTTACTTTTAAGTGGAAACAATGGGCATATCATTCTCAGAAGTACGTAATGTTTTCAGACTGTGGGGTTTTTTTAAGTTACAGTACCACTCTCCCATTTGCTAAGGCTATTACCTGTGTAGTCTAAGTGAAATTCTGGTACTAAAAAATGTAGTTGAAATTTCTGTCTTTTGTTGTTTGTTTGGAATATGAAGAAACTTAAATATGGATGACTGTGGTTACGGCAACAAGTGATTCTGTGTGTGTCCCGTGCCCCCTGCCCCCCATGTGTATTAGCAAAATGTCTAAAATGTTTTTTGTTAGGGTTTTTCCCCTCAATTTTAAGATGAGCTTCACTTTAAAAGTTTGAAAATACAGAGAATGATTTGGTTTGTGTCATATTTATTGTTTAGCTATTAAGAGTACCATCTTGTTTGTTCATAAGGTAAAGGAGAAATACCAAACATGCAATTGTAAGATGTTCACTCTCTATTGCTTTGTTGTAATCCTGTAAGCAGCTAGGAAGTGTGGTGTAGAAAAGATGTTTATCTGCAGCTTGCTAGTTCTTGGTGCTTTCCCCGGGTTGTGCAGAACCTGGACTTGCGACAGTATAAACTTGATTGATGTACATGGAATTGAGAAGGAAAGTGGTTCCTCTATCACTTCACATCATCATACTTTATGGTGAATTTACCAGTAGTGATTTTTAACATGTCTGTTTATATGAAACCAAGGGTAGGTTAGTGTCACATGGTAAGAGGAAATACACTTACTTAAGGGGAAAAACATTAGCAGACCAAGTTTAGGTCCAAGCAAATAAACTGTATTTGACTTCCAGCTGGCTCAAAAAGCTGCGTAAGCACAGGCCTGGTAGGTGGACTGTTAAATCTTAGCAGTAGCATCTTAAAAGGATAAACAGCTGCTCGGATGGTAAACACAAGAAGTGCAACTGTTGGTTTCTTAAACTATGACTTTCCAGGTGAGTGAGTGCAAAAAGGCTTTCTTCATGCTTTCAGATTGAAATATGTACTTCCCAGTAGTACAGTGACAGAGAATTAAAGATTGAATTTTTTTTGTCTCTTGCCAGGCTAAAGGCGTGAAATAAGAATTAGGGGAAAAGGTCAAATGTTATAAATTTATTTTGGGACATATATATTGCAACCTCTGTGGAAGCTTTTGAAAATTCAGGCAAAGATCAATACACTTCCAATAAAACCTTTAAACTTGCAATAAAACAATATTTTAAACATTATATATATATTTATATATATATTTTAATTAAAGGGATCATTTTAGCAGGATTTTTTTTTTTCTTTTTTTTTTTTTTTTATATTGCATTCCTCTGACATAGCTCTTTCCAGATTGAAGGGATGCAAATGAGGTAAGAATTAAGGCAAACCTAAAAGGCATGCAAATGAAGTACATTTATATCCACTGACAATACAAGCACATGTGTGGATCAGACTTAAGAGCTGAGGAACTCTTCCCCTCTGTCTGTCCAGTACTACTTTACAGCAGAATGGTGACATGATTTATAATAAACAGTTAACATTACCGTGGGAATTCAGTGTCACTAACATTACTCAGTCTAGGAGACACAGAGCTAGCATCAGTAAAACATGACAATAAATAATATAATTCACCGCAGCACAGGACTGCTGCACAGGCTTCAGAGGAATAGGGCTGTTATGAAATGACATTGCACACATCACGTTGTGGCAGTTTATTTTTATAATATATACTTTTAAAATTCTTTAGCAAATGACATTCTCATGCACACAAGTGTTTCAAACACAAGAAGCAAGTCCATTTATAGGTAGTCCAAGCAAATTTTTGTGTGTGGAAATAGCTGCAAACTGAATGGAACATTAAACTTCTGTGCAGTCTATGACGCATTGTACACAAGCTCATTTTTGAATGTCACACTGCAGGAGTAATACAATGGAAGGATCACTCTTTGCAGCTTCTTTGAATTCATCCAGTGTGATCTGGTCATCTTTGTTCTTATCCATCTTACTGAAGATCTTGTCTACCCGTTGCTCAGGCGTCAGACCATCCTCATTCATTTTCATCATGATCACAGTGCCCACCATTTTGTAGATGGCCTTTGGAAAGAAACCAAATGGAAAATTCAACATACAAATTAACCTGATTTCTTGATGTGATCAAATTCTGGAAAGAGACTCCACCAATAACAGGACTGTCAGTTTCCCTAAAGAATTAAAGGATTTTTTTTTTCTTTTTTTATTAGAATCCAGCATCCATATATTTAAAACAAGGAAGAAGGTGTTTTACTTTCTTTACATGTAGAATTATTTCGGTGGTTACCTTTTGCATCTTGGAACGAATTTCTGTGGCTTTCTGTTTCACAGTGCAGAATTGTTGTAACCTGTTCTCTGGATCAACTGTTTATTTGGCTTGTAGTCACTACATTGAAATGTTTCACAGGAATTCTGAATAATCAGTGTTAGAAATTAGCGCCCTTTAAGAGCTTTCTATGTGTTCACATGAGCAAAATCTGGTATTAACTACTGTGGTGAGTAGCGGGCAGATGACAAGGGCGGTAAACTTCATCCTTCCTATTACATGCTGTGGGCATCTTAACGCCCATCTGTGAGACCTCGCTTAAAATAGAGTGTTGTTTTCCCTGTAAATTTTCGTAATCATCTACAGTTAATCTCCAGTAAGGTTTCAGCTACTTGAGCTACAAACCAGTAATTTCATGGATGGTAAGTGATTTTGAGATGGGCTTTGTAAATCCTTTGCTGTGCTGTTTGTATGGTTAATCTGTTCATCAGAGAAAAAAAGAATTACCTCTGAGTATTTAAAAGCTTATATGTGCTCTCTGCAATGCTCAAAGATTACATCTATTAAAATCTCAGTCTGCTTGCACCACTGAGGCATGAGTCAGTGTAGAACGAATGTATCTAATGTATGCTTTTAAAGATAGGTACAGCTATTTGTGTGCTTAAAATCTGAAGGGTATGGGAACAATCATCAATTTCTATTAATGTTCAGTCATGTTATTTTGAAGTGTCACATGGATCTCACCTCTATAATTTCCAGCATTTCCACTCTTGTAATTTTACCATCACCATCCAAGTCGTACATGTTGAAGGCCCAGTTTAGCTTTTGCTCAAAACTGCCCCGTGAGGTGATGGACAGTGCACAAATGAACTCTCTGAAGTCGATGGTCCCATCTCCGTTCTTATCAAAGGTTCGGAAGGCGTGCTGGGCAAACTTGGAAGCGTCTCCATATGGAAAGAACTGCAAAATAAAACAATGACTAGAACTGTGGGCAACACAGGGGAACAAGTTCTGTACCTGCGTGCAAAACACTGAAGTGAGGCGTTCATGGAGAGTTGCTTTGTGTGAAATGGAAGCTACACAATATAAGCTTCTGTAACAGTTACAGTGGAATGGTTGCTCAAAAGTTTTCTCTACAGAAATCTCTCAGCTTACAACAAACAATATTACAAATATATTTAACGCTAATTTAAATTAACAAGATGAACATTAGTTCATTGGGTGCAAACGGGAGATTGTATGCAATATTCTCTGACTATGAAATACAGCGACCAAGGTGCATTTTAGCAGTATTTTTTCTGCCCTTGACATGCTGTAACCAAGCAGATGTGTTGGCTTGTTGCTATAGAACTTCATTTATTTAAAAAGAAGAATCCAACATCCAGGAACGTATGTTCTGCCAACCGACATTAATACAAGTACATAAGAGGAGAACTGAGATTCAGTTAAACAAACATAGCAATGCTTTTCATGTTTAATATTGATTATCAGTGACTGACTGTAGCTTAACAAAGTATTTTACATGACCATAACATGTAGGTTTTCAGGTGATATTTCTCCCCTCAGGAAACGTACAATTTAAGACATGTGAGACAGTAGTTGTTCTTTCTGTGGCCCAGACTCAAGAAAACATACCTCTTAAGAACAGAAGTTTCAAACTGGCGCTGAAGTCCCACTGCACTGCAGGGACTGTACGTAAGTAATGTTTGTTTCTATATTCCCAGCACAATTTTGTGGAGGTTTTCATGCTCTAGAATACAAACCTGCATCACTCCCACTCTGGGAGCCATCTCATTTTGTGCTTTTTGAGATTCCAATTCTTAGTAAGCATTGCATTTAATAATGTAAGTTTGGAGGAAAGTTCAACAGCAGCTGAGGAAGTGGGTCTGCAATTTACAGTTTTCCATTTCCCCATCCAGAGCTTTCACTGCAGCCTGGTGGTTGCTGTGGTCTGCTGTGAAAGCTCTTCAACAACACACTCAAATTTCATGGGGGATCTTGGGAATCTCACAGCATATACAGAAATGGGCACTACTAACTGTCTGAGTAAACACAGATGCAGAGCATGGCAAGCCTTTGCTGCTTTTCCTTTGAGGAGTCCAAGTGACCATTTGGATACCGTGTCTTGCCCTGAAAATGCAAAACTTCATGCGTGGCCAGCTGCTTGCACTATGTGGCCATGTGCGTCATGTCAGGAGTCACTGCTGCGTTGCCAAAGGGGCCCTAACCTGGAAGTTTTCTTTAAACTTACTGTTTTCTCTGATACCAATTTTTCAGCCACCATTCTGGATAACCTTTGCATTGCTGAGGAGGTATGATGCAATCACTTCTCTGGCTTTTCTGTGGCATTACAGTCATTGTAAGATCTTCCTCCCACCCGCAAAAGAGAGAGGAGGGTTAAATTTTGCCCACCTCCATCCATTCAGAATATTGTCGTGTTGTAAATTAACCCTTAAGGGATGCAAATAGCAGTATTATGCCAGAAAAGGTCTTCAATGTCCATCTTGATTCCCAAGTATCTTTTCAGGAAGATATTTGAACATGGCGTGGAGGCATGTAGAGTGTACCCATTCCAGTGGTGGTGTGTCCAGGTTAGCATCGCTGTTAAAGTTGTGATTTTCTCAGTTGACTTTGTGTGGGTCAGAGTCCACCCGCAGCTTCCATGACCCTTCTCCGACAGCTGAAAGAAGCACTTGATATTTCCTGCACCTGAAAATGTAACTTATCAGCCTGTGCTCAACCCAGCCCCTGTTTCTGTTCTGATAACCCAAAGTGATGGAGCCCTAAATACCTCAAGGTACCGCTCCAGCTCTTTCTGTTCTTTCTGATTTTTCACCTTTACATTTTTTTTGTGTGGTAAGCGTGACTGGACTCGTAAACACACACAAAGACATACGGATTCTCTGATACAGTTCAGGCCTCTGATGCAGCCACCAGACCTTGATGAATTGCTCTTCTGGTGCAAACCTCAACCTCTTGTCAAAGCCTCTGTGGGAGGCCTTAGCAAAGTGTAAAAGCACAGACTTTAACTACTTTAAGACAAGTCTGAGCCAAGTGGCAGTGGGAGACAGGGATCTCTGGAAGACAAACACTCATATTTGGCAGGGGGAATATAAGGAGGGGGGATGGCACTCTGGCATGAGCTCAGTGAATGCCTCAGAATTAAGTAAAGAAACGCAATAAGGATTTTCAGAGGCTACAGCCACTGTGCTTTCAGCCTTCCCTTCCAAACCCTTGTCCAGGTGATCAACCTACATATGAGAGCAATTAGTTCCCTTCTGCTGCAATGGTATCACTGAAAACTGCACTCTACACACCAGCATTGTCTCCTGCTTTTGCCTTTTCATCCAAAAATCAAGACAAACTATACCTGCCAGTCAGTTCCAAGGGTGACCAAACACTGATCATTCCTTTGTTTCTGCTTCTCTAGTCTCACCTCTTGCTGGACTGTGCCTTTCCTGACCAGTTAGATGAACATGCTGGCATCTGAAGAAAGTGTTATCTCTAGGGACAACCATCAACTGGGAAAGGAAAAAGGAAGAGAAAAAGAATATCCCTTATTCTGCTTCTGTACTGTGGAGAAGAAGATTGTCATTTAGATTCTTAGCTCCTAGAGTGTTTTTGGACACCCTTCTGGTATATGGGGGCTTTTCAAGGGTCCTGGAATATAAATATCTAGTGAACAGCACCTACAAATTGTACATAACTTAAGCCTTGGGGAAACTGATCAAATATGTAGGAATATTTATCTGCTTGGCTGCACATGCTTTAGCATCTTTGAAGTGATGATGTTCACAGACAACTCTGTGAGCAGCTCTACTCAGATCACCTTTCGGAGCGAGTCACTGAAAAAGCATAAAGCATATACCAAAGCATATGGCTCAAGTTCAGCATATGGGTAAAAACCAAAAGCACTGTATTTCTCCAAATTCCCCAGTGATGGGGCAGGTCAAAAAAAGAAGGATCTCACCCTCCCTGGAAGGGTGGGGTGGAACGAAGCTAAAGACTGTCCCAAGTGGTGCTTTTGTTTACATGTTTTTGTTATCATGTTTTGAGATGCATTTCTATCAGAAGGGGAATTCTGCTATAAAATGCAGAAAACCATAGTCAGTGTACAAAGAGCTGTACACGCTGCCTGTGCATGCCCAGGTGACAGCTCAGGCACTGATCTAAGGTTTGAGATTGCAGCACTGAGGCGGGAGCTGGAGCGCAGAACGGGATGCGGGTGAGCAGGAGGTGGTACAGCACCTCTGTATCCTATTTAAAAATCTACTTGAGCTCAGGTAATTCTCACAACTCTCACTTCATCTGCATCTTAATTGCTATGATACTGAGCAGAATGTACATTATTAGCAGGATGGGCCAATGCAAACTATCCAATTACTACAGGGGGTTTTGAATGGAGCCTATGATCATGCTAAATCTGAAAGCCTTTCCTTGCCACTGTCTAGTTCTGTCAAAGGTTTTCCCTGAGTTACTATGCATTGTATGAGATCTTTAAGGAACTGAAACACATCCAAACGTTCTTACTCAAGTCCAGACCCCCAAGTTCCTCTAGGCAACCAAGGCAAAATCCACACAGGGACACAGGCAATGAAGGGCTCTGCACAATCGCCTCCATAGTCAGGTCTTCCATCATTCAAAGGTGTGCAGATGTTTTGGCTGTGGATTTCCAAGGCCTTTCTCACACAAATCTTCTCTCCAGACTTTGGAGAACCTGTTCCCAGAGGCAATTAAGCACACCTTGCTCTGCTGAAGTCCTTCTGTGGTTCCTATCCCCAGCTACCCTTTAAATTAAAAGCATTTAGATGCATTTAGATAACCGCTGAGGATTTCAGCCTCAAGAGCTTTCTGAGGCGGAAGTTTACTGAAGAGACATTACAGGCAATGAATGAGCACCCAAGAATTTGGCTCCACAGAAGCAGAAGTAATTTCAGCAGCTCTGCATGCTTCCATTAACAATTTAATTGAAAGTTAAGGGATTTGTATCCCAGAGATACAGATGTTCTGTCTTGTTCCCAGCTCTCAGCCACAGAGTAGCAGCACATCAGCACAGAAAGACGCATCATACGCCTTTGAAAGATCTAGGCTGTCTTGTCCATATGCACTGGAAATTAAGTGAGGGTTACAATCATTTCTTTACTGAAATTCCAGGGTATGGAATCGGATGATGTTTCTGCACTGCACTAGAGGTGGGATGCTGTAACAGATCCAGATATCACATTCAAAACTATGCTTCCAGTGGCGTCTCTCTTCTCAGCCTTCTCCTTATCCTCTGCTTCTCCCCCCTCTGCATTATCCCTCCATTACACAGAGAAATCCCAGGATAGGTCTAAAAGCTCTTGCAATAACTCACCCCCAGCTACAACACTGGTGCCACAGATCTCCACATAAGCTAAAGCAAGTGCTGCACTAATGAGACTGGTGGGGATCCCCAATCTCTGCTTCACCACACGTACAGCCAGAGGAAAATGGGCAGGTTGGTTGGTTCTTGTTGGTTAATGACGCATGTAAAACTGCCTGGAATAGCAGCAGGGTTTTGTGGAGTATGTTTCAAAGCTGAGAGCCTTGCCCAACCACATCTTGTGTGTATTACCAGGCTGGTTAGCTTAAAAATGCCTTTTCATAAGTTATTTTTACTTTGCAGATGAAGCTGGAAAGAGCAAGCACAGCCCTAACAAACTCTGTTCACGGCTGGTATTATACAAATAAATGGATAAAAATGGTACTACTGTGTCAGAGTGCATACCTTTTGAAGTCCAAGCTCAGCGTATTAATCCAATGTAACAGCAAGATTATCAAAGGAGACGATGATATTTAACCTGTCAATGTGCAGGACTGATGCTGATGGAATATGCAGTGAAGCAACTGCATAGATGTATTTTTTTCTGTTGCATGTTAATGTAACTACACTGCTCCAGAAGGCAGATTCATTTTGTGTTCCTCCTACAGATGCATCTACTGGGAGCAAAACATTATCAGTCTTCCCTCTTCTCCCACTCAGCCTTTGAGGGGTTATTATCTCTTTCCAGCTCATCATACACATACCAAAGCACTCACACCCCAAACATGTCAGTCCCTGCTCAGTATCTGGGAGAAGGGCCATTTTCTGGCTCAACTATAGCCCTTTTATTGTGCTTTATACTGACAAAAGGTCCACTGGGCTGACCCTCTGGCAAAACGCAGAACCAGAGCATGCAATGGCACAAGCCAGTACTGCAGGTGTGCACGGCTCTTACCAGCCAGATGCCTCCAGAAGAATCAAATTCTCTCAAGTCAGCCAAAAAAAAAGAGTCGGATTATGTTTTGCTGAGTGTCAGGGAAGAGGTTACTCCATAGGATTACAATGGATTGATATACACAAATCTGGGCTTCGGGGCTGACAGGATACAGACCTGAACTTTCAACACTGGCAAAATTCATTGCTGCAAAGCAGAAACCAGCATGATACTTTCTGCAGCAAGGTGAATAAAAAAAGGACACCAGGGATAAAGCACCAGTTGCAGAACAGGGATGTTACAGGAACATGAGAAAAAAACCCAAACAAATTTACAGACTGTCCCAGAGCTAATCTTCACAGTAAAAGCCCTCGAGTCTTTTGTCCTCACAGATGCCAAGTCTGGTATAGGTGCAATCTTAAGGACACCTGCAGTGCAAGGTAGAAATAGCCCACATAGGAAAACTGCCTCCAGCTTGCTGGAGGGTCCCATGGCAGCAGGCACCATCCACAGCCATGGGTCTGTAGGTTTCAGCAGCAGCTGAGCCATAGGGCTGAGCCTCTAGAAAGGATAATCTCAAGCACCACCAAAGACCAGCGTCTCAATGGCTATTTAGATCCAGGCCTCAGTTTTCCATGTGTAAATCTGTGAGATGTCCCCAGCTCAGAAGTGTGATGCAAGGGTAAATACAACAGAGAATTGTGACTATTTCAAATACTGCTGCAGTGGGAGTCATACAAGCAGCAAGGACTGAGGAGAACTGCCAAGCCTCATGGATGTTTACTGCTTATGTCTCTGCTTAGTACCTTTCACGCTGTGAACATGTATGTATGCACAGACACATGGGGAGGCTTATAAGCAGCTGTTAGTTCTTCACGTAAAGAAGAAACACTTAGAAGACCCAAGAAATGTAATTTTCCCTCTTCACAGGGAAAACTCACAACTTGCACAGGCTGAAGTGGGATCAGAGAAGAATCTGTTTCTTACCCAGACCTCCAAGGACTGTGACTAGCTCTTACATTATAGAGGACTAAGTCACCTGATCTTGCAGATGCTTTTAGCCGCT